CATGCCCCACACTGACCTTCCAAGTGTAAAAAGTGTATGCTGCTTTACTTTCATTTACTCATACAAAACATCTCCTGTGGCCTATTCTATCCTGGAATTATAGGAAAGGGAAACATAGTACTAGCTTAGCTAAATTAAGGTAGAAGCCAATCACAATATGCAAATTATATGGTATGTTAAAGTCAATAAGTGCTGTGGAGAAAAACAGAGCACAGAAGGTGAGAAGTGTTTGGAGGGTAGGAATTATAATTTTTTTTTTTTTTTTTTTTTTTTGAGATGGAGTTTCGCTCTTGTTACCCAGGCTGGAGTGCAATGGCGCAATCTCGGCTCACCACAGGAGATCAGCCTGAGCAATATAGTGAGACCTTGTCTTTACAAAAAAAGAAAAAGAAAAACTTAAAAATATTAGCCAAGTGTGGTGGCACACACCAGGCAGGAGGATCACTTGAGCCTAGGAGGTGGAGGTTGCACTGAGGCAAGATCATGCCACTGCACTGCAGGCTAGGCAGCAGAGCAAGAATATTTCTAAGTAAATAAAGAAACAAATAAAATCCTTAAGCCAACCTTCATTTACCAACCAGTTTTTAATTCTTCTATTTGTTGAATCTCCTAAGGCTCAAAGCCTTGGTTTGAATACAGCTAAATTCACTGGGTTTGATCTCAAGTCAAACTTAGAAATACTGTCATCTCAGCCACAAATGTCCCACTAAAGCAGACAGAAACCACTACTAAATCACTACTTTGTCCTAAAATGAAAATATAATAGACTGTAAAGTTATAATTGCTTTTTAAGTTAAGCTTTGTTTTACATTTACAGAAAAGTTGCAAAAATGGTATGGGGGAGTCCCCACACACCCTCATCCAATTTCCCCTACTATTAATGTCAACAATACTATGGCACATCTGTCAGAATCAAGAAATCAATATTGGCACTATTAACTAAATTCCGCACTTTATTCAGATTCATCAGTTTTCCATTAATGCCCTTTTTCTGCTAGAGATCCCAGTCGGGATACCACATTACATTTAGTCATTATGTATCATTTTCTCTAGTATAATAGTTTCTCAGACTTTTCTTGTTTTATTGTGACCAAGACATTTTTTGAGTACTGTTTAGGTAATTTGTAAAATGTACATCAATTTTGTTTCGTGTGACTTTTTTCTCATGAGTAGGCTGGGGTATGGGCTTTGAGGAAGAATAACATGGAGGTGAAGTGTCCACATGATAAAAGAGAACACATTATCAACATGACATATCGTTGATGTTAAATATTGATCACCTGGACTCTGTAATGTGTGCCACTTTTCACCAAAGTTCTGCTTTCTCCCCTTTCCGTACTCTACCCCTTGAAAGCAAGCCCACAATAAAGTTGGTGGTAAGATCAGCAAGGGGAATTAAACTCTATCTTCCGGAGAGAAATGGCATTTAAAGTAAACATAAAACCTTTTCGATTTCAGAAACATATTGAGTATTTCAAAGCATTCAGTAATGCAACTGACTGTTCATATAATGAAAGTCATTCTGCTAGGCACTTGAAGAATTAGACATAGTCCTTCACCACAGTTTATAATAAAGACACCGCAAGAAAAATGTGAGTTAAGTACTATAGTATGTTAAAAAAAAGAAAAAAAAACAAATTCAATTGAAGTAACCAAAATTTTATGGAAGTGATATTTGAACAAAGCACTGAAAGCTGAGTAGAATTCTGACAGATAAAAATAGATGACAAGGCAGTCAAGATGGAAAAAAGATCATAAAATATGGGGGTAGAAAAGAACAGATTTTCTACAGTCCAGTTTCAGACAAAACACAAAGTTCTAATTAAAGGCCAGAACACACAGGTGCACACAGTCCTGCATGCATATACACATGCTGTTATGCATATTCCTTAGCCATTGGAAACATTAATTTCAAATCTTCAATCAGACTTTTTAGCTTAGCATAAATGAATGGTGTTATGGGCGGAACTGTGCTTCCCAAAATTCATTATGTGGAAGCCCTTATCCTCGGTACCTGTGAATATGACTGTATTTGGAGATGGGGTCTTTAAAGACGTAATTAAGTTTGAATGAGTTCATCGGGGAGGGCCCTAATCCAATTCGGCCAGTGTTCTTTTAGGTAGAGCCAACTGAGACAGTTTCAAAAAGAAAACAATATTAAGATACCAGGAAAACACCATCATACACATGCCAAGGAGAGAGGCCTCAGAAGAAACAAGCTAATGACACCTTGATCTCAGACTTCCAAACTACAGAACTGTGACAAGTTTTTGTTGTTTAAGCCACCCGGTCTGTGGTATTTTGTTATGAGAGTCCTAGCAAACTAATATTGATAATTATTTAGATTTCAATAAAATGTAACTCCGCAGAACACCCTCCTGTGATTCAGTACCCAAGCCTTGTTATTGAATAATTCTTTTCGGTTCACAAGTGGAATGAATGGGAGTGAAGTAAGAAGACAAAGTAAGATGGGGTGAAATAATGGTGAGCCTTGGAAGCCGCTCTATTACCTCAAACAAAAATTTTTCTCCTATAAGCTTGTCCATTCCAACCCTTACGGCAGTTACTGCTCTAATTCTTTACTCAAAAAAGTATGTAATGACTTCATGAAGTTTTTGTAGATCTCCACTGTACTTTATTCACCCGTCTTGATACCTTTTTCCTTGACAGCAATTGTACAATGTGCTGCTCCAAATGATCCAGCACTACGTAAAAACTTCACCTGCTTTATTTCATACAGGAGGAACGCGAAAACAGAAAAGAAATTTAGCGTTCTTTAAAAGCACGTATCTAATAAGACTATTCCCGAAGGTTGGAAATTCCACTTTCCAAGGGCGGTAGCTCTATTTCATTGCATCCTCCAGGGATGTACAGCGGGTGAGTTAAGACTGGGGCGTTCCGCTTTCGGGAGTCCAGGGGCGCCCAAATGTGAGCAACAAACTACGGGTCAGGGGCAGATTGCAACATGAAAAACGTACACACGCGCACAAAACCGGGTGTGTCACCTAGGCTCAAAGGGTCTAACATCCTTTCCTTTTTAATTTTTTTTTTTTTTTTTTTTTTTTGAGAGGGATTCTCGCTCTGTCGCCCAGGCTGGAGTGCAGTGGCGAGATCTCTGTTTACCGCAACTTCCGCCTCCCAGGCTCAAGCGATTCTCCCGCCTCAACCATCCGAGCACCCGGGACTACAGGTGTTCACCATCACACCCGGCTAATTTTTGTATTTTTAGTAAAGATGGGGTTTCGCCATGTTGGCCAGGCTGGTCTCGAACTCCTGACTTCAAGAAATCTACCCGCCTCGACCTCCCAAAGTGCTGGGATCACAGGCGTGAGCCACTGCGTCCAGCCCCTTTTTCTAATATTGTGTAAAATAAATATCCTAAACAGGAAACACCACAATTTTCCCCTTCGCTTCCGTGACCTACAAGAGTAAGCGTCAGATTTTTCGCTATCGCGAGAACCTTCGGACTTCAGTGCGTGCGCATGCGTCAGGTTCCGGAGCCGGAGACCCGCTCAGACTTGGATGACCGGCAGGGGAGGGGAGAAAGAAGCCGAGTGAAGGGGGCCACCGAGGAGGTGGCCGAAGTAACAGGTGGAGCCGCGGCGGAGCTGGGCGGGGCGAGGAATGAAACATAGGCCCCACCCCTCGCGGTGCTTCCCCCGGAATAGCGTCATCAGTTCTATAAGATAGCTAGCGCAGAAAGCCTTGGCCTTTCACTTTCGGGAAGCGTCGGGATCAGGTGAAGGCACGCAGTTGTCTTTTGTAAATTAAAATGATAATTGAGCCAAAACTTACAGCCTTACCTGAAAGGCAGCGCAGTCAGGATATTGGTAGGTCGGGGACAGCTTTGGAAACCCTCAGGTTTACAAGCATGCGCGGATATGAGTGCTCATTAGGTCGCAGGGTGGCCACGTGCAGCCCAGGACCCTGAACCCGGGTGCGTGTGGGCCGTGGGCCCTCGGGGATAGGTTCCGTGCACCCGGGGACTCTGGTGAAGCGTGTTAGTTTGGCCGTCGGTGTCATGTGGCCATCTTGAGTCTAGTCGCTCTTCGTGCCTTAGCACCTCGAGAACCTCAGTTTGCACCAGATGGTAAGTAATATAATCTGTAGCTGTTTGCTTGCTGGTTAACTCTGGATCGTGAATCTCCATGTATCTTTGGGACCTGTCAACCGTGGCAGTCTCCCTTCCTAGCCATGGAAGAGCATATTCTTGTTTATTGGCAAAGCTGTCACCATTTAATTGGTATCAGATTCTGACTTGCACAAGTAACATTCTTCACTGTTAAAAACCTGGAGGGTGCCCGGTTATTAGGTAAACTTTTCTAAACTGTTGTTAAATTGTTCTAGGAAGCTGAACTGAACACATTACGATGGATGATGGAAACATGAGGTACATTTCTTTTTTCTTATTCCTTAATCTGAAATGCCTTAGTGTTAGGACGCTGGAATGCTAAAGTTGGCCTGTTTTGCTGGCTTTTGTAGTTTAAGAGTTAACAGCCAACTGAATTCAGTGATAAGATCTTAAAGCAGTGAGGTAAGTACACAGGTCTGGGTTTCATAATTTTTTTTTTCTCTTTTTGCAGACTCAAGAAATCAAAAGTGGTAATGGGTGAAGTCTATTCAGCATCCTGCAATGGATTTATCTTAGTCGGGGAAATTGATGTTTCGAATGATGTTCTGGAAGTTATCAGGACGCCCATTTTCAATATAGGCTTGGATTTTTTAACGTAATATTTAAGGTGGTTCTTAAATAAAATGCATAATTTTATGTGGCTACTCATTGTTACTTGACTGAGTGGTTAATAGACGGAAAGGTATTTAATAGCAAGCAGAATACTTCCTAATGTTACCCACTCACGTGGAAGTAGTGTGAATGAGTACAGTTACAAGGTTGCTGCAGCTTTTGTGAAAAATGTAAAAGATAAAAAGGACTAGGTTACCCCCAAGGGAGAGAACAGACTCTAATTTTTTCTAAACCATACAAAAAATTAAAGCAGCTATACAAGGTGAAAAATTACGTACTTTATTTACGCAACGATGCACAGAACACTAGTATCTTTCAAAAGTCACACTTAAGACAATTGGTTAAATAAAAGCATGCTATATGAACCATGTATTCTTCAGGGTTGAGTAAACTGCAGGCTGTTTACTGCCTTTTAGGTTTAGTCCCTGATTGACTTGAAACATAGATGTTGCTTGCACCAGCACCTGTAGTTTAATTACAAGGGCAGCCTGTGGGAAAATTTCAATAGACTTATTTCTCACCTATATTGCACGTTTTTCCCAAGCCCTTGTGCAAGTGTGCCATGGGTAGCTCTATTTACATGTAAATGCTGCTTTAAAAGTTTATCAAAATCCTTAAGTTTTTACAAAAGTTTTTAAAGCTCTTCTGCATTATATGCAGCATTGCAAATCTGCAAAGTAGTAAAACTATAAAGCACCTTTTGGTTTGCACCACTTTTACAGAAATGGAGATTTGTGAAAAGGACGTAATTTGATGTAGAAGGACAAAGTCCTTTCGTGACTGACATTCAGGAGGATTACTTAAAACCATCTGAAAGTTCATGCTAACCTCTATATTTATACTGGGGACCTGGGGAAGTATCCATGACATTGAAGTATCTTGAATGTGCCTTTTAAATATGAGCATTACTGCCGAGAATGTCCCATAAAAGTGCATAGTTTAATTCTCTAGGGTTAAGCAGTTATGCCTTAACCCTTAGAGAAATAGCCATAGGGAAACAATTCTTGGGAGAATTATGGGGGGAAAATCCAGCATTGGGACTCCTGGAGTTACGAATCAGTGTTTTACCAACTGGTCTTGCTTTGAGGTAAGTCTGTTTTCCCTATTTGAAAACTAGGGCTGCTGCTATAAGATCCTACTGGCCTTTTGCAAATTGTCATTTGTGTCATTTGCAAATGATGTGCATAGTGATTGCACATGATTGCAAGTGATGTGCATGGCCATTTAATGTAGTGCCTGGCATATAACTGCTTATGCATTAAAACAACTGAAAGCTGCTACAGCTTTTCCAATGTATAGGCCGGGAAAGCATTTTGACTAGTGTATTTTAAGATTGGATTGTGTCAGGTTGGTCTTGGAGAAAACCTGCAGGTACAAGTCAGTTACAAGAAAGTGTCAGTAGGTGGCACTGTTAGATCATGGTCGGGGAACATAGCCTATGATGCCAAGGACAAGTTAACATTTTATTCTGAGTTAAATCTGAAGTGCTTGATAAAAATGAATATACTAGATATGTTAATGTGTTGAATAAACTAGGTTGTATGTCCAACTGGCATTTTATTAACCAGAAATCCTTTCAAATTTTGCTAGTAGTTTATCTACTATAGGCAGAAAATATTTTATGGTTTCTGCAGCACTGGGTACTTAACAAGGATACTTGTTTCCAAATATCAGATCACTCTCACAGAGAGTGTTGTGACAGGCAAATGTCCTTGAGGCTTAGTAATCCTATTCAGGCCTGAAAGTTTATAATGGAATTCCTTAACCATTGATTTCCTCACTTAACAAAGGCTATAGAGAAAATGAAGATTTCTTCTCAAGTCTTTTGAAAAGATCAAAGCATAAATACTGCACTCTTCTGATTGTAGTAAAGGGTGTTTATGTCAAATGTAGATAACATGAATTCAGACACCACTGATTCAACTATAAGGGATTCTCAAAATGTAAAAACGAACTTTTGGGAAATCAGCACAGAATGATTTTGAGAAAACAGGCACGGATAGATGAGACTTAGAATAAGTCACTCCAGTGAAATTTGGGTAGACAACAATGCTCATTTAAGGGTTATCACTATTCCACTACAATGAGGTCTCTGAAAATATTCACAATACAAATTCTCACAAGCAGCAAGGGGTACACTGTTTTTTAAGCACAAAACAAAGCAAAAACACGGATTTCAGTCCCCATTTGTTGTCATCTCTGCTGAGTGCTAATAGCAGGGGTTCAAAGTTTTCCATCTGTTTAAATGCTGCTTTGAGGTTTCCATGAATTACAGTTTGGTGACACTTTTTATCCAAGGTACAAAGGCTGAGACTTTGGTATAAACACCAGGAGAATCCTTGACTCCACAGCCATACCCCCAGGAGGTCACTCCATACACCACCCAGCTCTCTCCAGGCCGTTCACACATGAGTGGTCCTCCGCTGTCTCCCTGGCAGCTGTCCACGTGTTTGTGTTGATGGAGGTTTCCAGCACAGAGCATTCTCCCTGTAAACCGACCCTTATAACGTTCTTCACAAAATCTCTTAGGAAGTAAGTGTATGGCTGCTTGTTGTAGTGTCCTTGAATAGGCTTGTCCTACTCAAACCAAACATCTGATTAGTGGCATTTGAGCTAAGCATCACAACATTTTAACAGTTAGCATGTCATAGTAATGAAAATAAAATCCTTGTTGTGGCATTAGTGTTTAAAATGAGCAATGACTAGATGGTATGTACCATTGTTAGCTGCCTTTTTTAACAATGACACAGTCTTAACCTCTACAAATTTACTTCGCAGTACTGAACTGAGGAATAATGAATAACATTTGGATTTGTCTGGAGGAAGGTAACCTAAAGAAAGCACATTTGCGCAGGCTTTCATATTTGAATTCTGTATATTTAAAACCATATAATGCATTAATGCTGGTTTTGCATTAGCGCATCTATTCATATTCGTCTACTTCACTGAACTTGAATTCACAGTTTATGAAGAAACTTGAGTTCTCAGTTCTCAGAACCAGCAATACCTCCGGAATATGAATCTCAATTACATGCATGCATTTCACACTAAGCAGAATTTCTCCAAATAAGCCTGAACCCATTTAAGATCTTATGCATTACAGGCCCAAATAAGTGGATAATACCAGACAAAAAAAGGTGCCCTGCTCTGTTTTTTGATTATGCATTACCTGTGTCTCCCCATCCTGTTATGTAACAATTGGATGCTGTTTTCTGTGGCCTCTCTCTCCAGAGTGGTAAACAGGCTGGTAAAACGTGGCTGTTGAATCTGGCACATTGCTCTTCAGGTCCTTGTAATCTAACCAGGGCTATGTCATAATCACTGCTGTCAGGTCGATATTCCCGATGAGTCACAATCTCTTGAACTCCAATTTCTTCCTCAAACTCCTCTGGTACCAGAGTATGATAATCCCCAACCCGAACAGCATAGTTCCTAGTGCTGTTGCCATACCTGAGAGGCACAGAGTACTAATGAGAAACTTGAGCTTCAGATAGTGAAAATTACTAATTGTCAAGAAGGAAGACTAATGAAGATAAAAGCCTTTCTTCCAAATCATCAGCCCCTTTTGCAAATTTAACCTTTCTTTCCATTTATCTGACCCACCATTGGTGATCCTCTACTGGAAACCCATTGTCATAACCTTTATTTCACTGTGTAATCTAGGTTACTGTTTTCCAAGGAGCAAATGTGGAAGATGAGTGGAAAATACTGACTAATCATTAACTGTCATTTCCCAAATAAAAAGGGATCAAAACAGGAACAAATAGTATAAGTCAAAATCATTGTTCTGTGTTTGCCATTTTTGTTGCTCTGTTATTTCCAAGATTAGTTCATCACTAAGCTCTGTGAGGGCAGAACTGTCTGATCTAACTTCATGTCCCTCACAGTACTTAGTACAATCCACTTCATTCCTGCAAGGTAGACTTAAACTTGTTCCCTTCCCTCTAAAGTGAATGCAAATCCAAACTATACTTTCAGATCAACATTTTCATTCTATCCTTTCACCTCTTAAATCTTTATTCAGATGTCACCTCAGTGAAGCCTACTTTGACACCCTCATATTTAGAATTGCAACCCATCTTTCTTTGTCCTCCCAACACTCCCAATATTATCTGCTCTACTCTCCTTTTTTAAGCACCACTTTCTAAAAACTAATCTATTATGTTTGTTTTCTCTCCTCCCTGTGTTAGTAAAAGCTATTCCAGGTCAGAGATCTTTGTTGTGTTCACTGATGAATCTAAAACACCTAGAAGAGTGTTGCACCATTAATTAGGAATGCAAGAAAAATGGTTTAGTTAGTGAACAAATGTTCATTGTTAATGCGTACCTTTTTCCATGAGAAACTATAGTTAAAATAGAAACACAATATTTACTAGATGGATAGTTCTCAGTTCACTTTTCAACCATCATACCTAACACACCTAAAGAAGGGTTTCTCGACCTCAGCACCTATTAACATTTTGGACCAGATAATTCTCTGTTGTGAGAGCTGCCCTGTGCATTATAGCGTGTTTAGAAGCATCCCTGACCACTATTTGCTAGATGCCACTGGTACATGGTACACACACCCTCCATCCCCAGTTGTGATTGCCAGAAATGACTCCAGACATGGTCAGATGTTCCCTGTTAGGCAAAGTGCCCCTACTTGAGAACCTCTGACCTAGAATGACCTAACCCATCTCCTGGTTACTTCCTCTTTCTCACTGTAGACTACAGCACCATGCTCACTTCATTCCACTACTTAGAACATTCTTAAGACTTAATTTCCAATGACTTTTATTTTGTAGGTCCCTGACTTACTCATCTGCAGTGCATGTATTCTCCACCTCATCTCAGCAACCCACTTACAATGTAAGACCTAGATGTTGTATTCACCAGATAACCACACACCTCTGAAATCTTGTTTTCAAGCATATTGTATTTCTGCCTTCTATTTTTACAGCTCTAAAATCCTTCAAACCCATTGGACTTCTATCCTTTGGCCCCACTATTTTTTCATTTCAGTCTTTTATAACTTCCCTTATTATCTGGCTTGGATTCTACCATCTGCCCATTAAAGGGGGAAAGCATGCATATAAGAACTGTCACTTTAATTTTTTTTTTGCCGGAACTTGACTCATTCATTGTTTACACGACCTGTAATTGAATGTGAGCTGAGAAGAGTTGGTATTCAAAAACTTGGCATTTTCTAGTGTCTATTTAAAATAAAACTTCCCACTTCTATAAAAGTACTGGAGGTTATGAGATGCCTGAATATTCTAATATCCTTAAGTAGTGCTGTGACCGTCTTGTATATATAATTAGCTGTCAGCACTCAAAAACAAAACAGTTCCACAAAGACTATTTGGCTTATACAGCCACCTACTATCGATATTTAATACTAATAATCTATGATTTCTTGAGACTCTCAATCTTAAATCATCACATATCTTTAAAGTTCAGAGGCTTTTTAATATATTGTTCCTAAATGCTCTTATCATTTCTACTTCAAAATTTAAGTAAAATTTAGGATTATTTCACATACTGAAACTGTAACAATTAATAGGCAATTTGACCTGTTTGAGTTTTTATCTTTATCTTTTTTTTTTTTTTTTTAATTTTTGTTTTTTGTTTTTTGAGACAAGATCTCATTCTGTCACTCAGGCTTGAGTGCAGTAGCACCATTGCTCACTGCTCACTGCAGCCTCAACCTCCTAGGCGCAAGTGATCCTCCCACCTCAGTCTCCCAAGTGGCTGGGACCACAAATACACACCACCACACCTGGCTAATCTTTTATTTTTTTGTAGAGACAGGATCTTACTATGTTCCCCAGGCGGGTCTCGAACTCCTAGGCTCAAGCAACCCTCCTACCTCAGCCTCCTAAAGTGCTAGAATTACAGGCATGAGCCACCATGCCCAGCCATGTTTTTAATCTTTTAATGTGGCTACTAAAAAAATTCAAAGTTACATATATCCCTTGTTATTTGTAACTTACATTATATTTCTGCTAGACAGCATTGGTCAAGATTGTTTTACAGGAACTAGGCACCTGAGTTCCATGCAGTCCTAAGTTGCTTGTAATTTTTAAGTTGGAATTAATGAGACACTACCTTCAAATGTCAACTTTTTATATCTTTTACGATAATAATGTTACTATTCAACTTTAAAAAAAAAAACGTCTCATTGCAACAATATTTTCCATTCTGTAAGCTGTGATCCTTGGCCAAAATAATATTTGCAGCTAAACTGGCTTATAAATCTATTCCGCATTATCTATAAAAATTGAGTCTTCAACCAGTAAACAAAGAAACAGGACCTTACTACCACAAGGCGATTTATTTTTTAAATAATCTCAATGTTAAAGCCCTGGGCAATCTTGCCTCAATGTGTCATTTCATGCCAAGACTATTGCAATAGTCCCCTGAATGGCCTTGCTGCTTCAAGTTTTAACTTTTTCAACCCAGCCCTCATGCTGCAGCCAGAGTGATGTTTTTTCTGCCTGATAATATAACTCCTGAGTACTCTTCAAGGGATCCCCAATCCATGTGATAAATTCAAATTCCTTAAATGATACACAAATGCATCTAAGAACCGGCCCTTGTTCCCCTCTCTGATACTAGCCTGGCCCCTGTGCTCCTGTCATTTAAACCATTTGAAGAGTTGTCTTACAAACCTGTCATTATTCAAACCATGTGCAATGTTGTTTCCCTTGTCCCCTCTCTCCTAATATGACAAAAACTGATTTTGTCCAGATCAAGTCAGAGTTCTCCTAGGAGGCTCCTCCTAATCGTCTGCTCTCCTGTAAACTAACCAATCCTTTTGAACACTCTCAGTGCATATGTAACAGTTTCTAGGACTTAAAGGCTCCTCAAATGCAAGGACCATGTCATGATCACTGCTATATCCTTAGCACCCAGCAAAGCGCTTGGTAGAGAAAGCTCTTAATTTATATTGAATGAGTTATTTTGAAAGACATTCACGTCCACATACATACTTACACTCTCATCCCTAAGTTACTGAAATTAAAAAGAGATTTACTAATTACCATATTATATCAAACTAGCACAAAGCTTTGTATTTTATATAAAAATCCCCATGAAAATCCAATGTTCTTGTTAATGCTAGCTATGCATCAGAATCACTTATACCACTTCAAAAAATATAAATGTCTAAGCCATACAATATCTGAGAATATAAATTAATACGGCTGGTGTAGGATCACGGGTAGTTGATATTCACAGTCTTACCTGGGAACTACTGAACCAAAGATTCAAAAGTGTGGGCATAACTCCTGCCCCTACGTGCCCAGAATTTCACTGGGTGAAGTAAGCATCCTAAGAGATTACCGATAGATACCAAAATGCAAAAAGCATACATGTTCCATATATATACTGTGTTCTTGGATCAAGTATATTTTGGCAGGTAATTAGTATGCTCACCAATCAGCATTAATATTAAATCGGGATAAAAATATTTACCTAATAAGAAGGCAAACAGCACCATTGTTGCCAAAATGAAGTTCTTTGTTAGTTCCTATGTATATGGAATACACCCACACACACACAATTTTTTTTTTCCTTTTTGAGACAAGGGTTCTCTCTTGCCCAGGCTGGAGGGCAGTGGTGCGATCACGGCTCACTGCAAGCCTTAATCTCCTAGGCTTAAGCCATCCTCCTGCCTCAGCCTCTGAAGCAGCCAGGACCACACACACATGCCATCATGCTTCCTAATTTTCGAAAATTATTTTTTGTACAGATAGGGTCTCACTATGTTGCCTAAGTTGGTCTCAAACTCCTGGGCTCAAGCGATAAGCCTGCCTTGCCCTCTCAAAGTTCTTAGATTATAGGTACTGCACCCAGTAGAACCTATACTTTCAAAGTTGTCCTGATTTAGGGAAATAAACCAGTGAAACCTGAGAATGGAATCCCACACTCCTTTAACTCCAGTTATTCTTAGAAAAGATTTTGTGCTTAGAATATGAAGAGCATCTGACTCAAGATTGGAATAGTTTTCCAACCAGATTTTTGTCTTCTAGTGTCACCTCTCCTAGTGGTGATGATTCTCTGCTTTAGGAATAATACTTTGGCTGAAGTACTCAATATGTGTGTGGACTTCAGAAGCATCTGTAATGGTTCCAGGCTTCTCAAGACAATATATAAAGCAATCCTCTTTTGCACTGTATTTTAAGGTCTTTTTAGTTGAACTTTTGTTATTTTGATAGACTTTATTATATCCAAAAATGCTTCTAAAACTAACATTTCAAGTTTTATCTGACACATCATTCAGTTGTTTGCTTTGCTGAAATGCCTTCAACTCCCCCTCACATAAAAACTGGATGAAATTCCCAGACAAGCTTGAGCAAGAAAGGATCTGAGATAGCAGTTTATTAAAAGCCAATGTCCAAGTTTCTCTGAGACTCAGATTAAAGTAAACAACGACAACAACAAATTCCTAGAATTAAAAGTGGAAT